TCACGAGGTACATGAGCACAGCAAGCTGAAACACCGGAATTTGCCGAAATTTTCAAACTCCGCCGCAAAGTGCGTCACATATGCCAGGGATAGACAGGAGTTTTGATCCCCTGATTCCCAACATGCCTCGTCAGTCAAAGCGTGCACAAATGCTGCATGACATCGATGTATCTGCACTTGCAGTAGCCACAGCCCGATACCAACATCTTCTGGAGGACGACGAGTCTACTACAGACTCTGCCTCGAGTCTCGACTCTTTCGATCTTACCCGTGACTCAGACCTTGACCTTTTCATGAGCATCATGTTAACCCCTCCATCTCCTCTTTCTCCAGTTTTATCTGGCTTCTCCAGTTCTTCCTCCGACTCTTTCTCTGATGACTCATCTGATGATGACATCAACCATACCACTGCTCACTACGACCGTCTTCAAGATTCCATTGCAAGTCTTCGGGATGAGGTAGAGAGGGCACGTGTGCTCCATAGACCCAGTGAGCCTATCCCACGAGCCTCACAGCTGCACCTCCTTGTCCATTTTGGGGAACATCGCCCTCATCTATTTCGTCGTAAACTACGTGTCGACCCCGAAATTTTCGATGACATCCTCAATCTCATTTCTGGCCACCCCATTTTTCATAACAATTCCAACAACCTCCAGCTTCCTATCTCTATTCAACTTGCTATTTTTCTCAACCGTGTCGGCCACTATGGTAATTCTGCCACTCTCCAGGATGTATCTGAATGGGCTGGTATTAGTGTTGGGTCTGTGGTTAACTGCACCAATCGTATAATGGTTGCACTGCTTGACCAGCATGATGCCTTCATGGGTTTTCCCCCACCTGATTCACAGGACTTTGAGCTTGCTCGGCAATATACTGCACGGGTGACCACTTGCCCTGAGTGGCAGAATGGAGTCCTAGCTGTTGATGGGACATCAATTGACCTGTATGAGACACCTGGATTTTATCACCAGTCTTTTTATGACAGGAAATCCAAATATTCCCTGGGCTGTCAGGTATGTTTTTTTTTTTTTAATTTCATGGTTTAAAATTAAAATAAATTCAAGGCAGTCATTATGCCCCACAATCTTCTCATAGTTGATTATTCTCTTGGTCACCCTGGAAGCATCCATGATGCATACGCATTCAGATCTACTCGTATCTATCAAGAACATGACACACTTCTTCCAGCTGGCCACTGGGTCTGGGCAGACAGTGCTTATCCACTGGACACCTGGTGCATTGCCCCTTTCAAGAAGCCCCGCAATGGACGGCTGACAGCAAATCAGAGGACATTCAATTATCACCTTTCTACAGTTTGTCCCTTTATTTTTCCATTTTTTTCTGATTTAAATTTGATTTATCTAGGTCCGTGTACGAGTGGAGCATGCATTTGCTGCATTGAAAGGGCGGTTTCAATCTCTTCGAGATCTCCGACAGAATATCAATTCAGCAGATGACTTACGGACAGCAGTCCATTGGATTCAGTGTTGTCTGATCCTACACAACATGATCATACGGTTTGAAGAAGAACATGCTCTGACAGAGGACCAGGGATCAGTCAAGTGGTCTTGTCAAGAGGCTAGAAACTTTATGTCTCAAGAGGCAGCTGAAGGACCAGATGGTAATGACCAAGTAGGTGATAGGTTATATGAAGGGACTCCAGGTCATGCTCGTCGTGAGAGGTTGATGGATCTCTTGTTTGACAGCCCTCACTCAAAGGCACAACGTAGACAGGGATAGCAGTTGTAGTTACAAATTTCCACTTGAATATGTTTTCTTGGCTCTGAAGGTGTGATGCTTGACATATGTTTTCTTGGATAAGTAATGTTTGATAACCTGAGGAGATGTTAGATGGTACATATAACTAGTACACTTGCTAGGATAAGCACCACAATATTAAGCAAGTGAAGAGACTGACCATCACAGCTGCTTAGGTTTGAAATCAGCTTTCTTTGCGTTGCAAAGAAAGCTAATAAACCTAGAGCACTGTGATGGTCAGTCTCTTCACTTGCTTAATATTGTGGTGCTTATCCTAGCAAGTGTACTAGTTATATGTACCATCTAACATCTCCTCAGGTTATCAAACATTACTTATCCAAGAAAACATATGTCAAGCATCACACCTTCAAAGCCAAGAGGAAACACCATCATGGTCCATTGAAAACTGGTAGTACATGAACTATCAACATAACATGAACAGGACTAATGGTTAACATAACAACATATGTAGTATGAAGGACAGCATGAGATATGTGATGCAAAAGGACAACAGTAAGACTACAACAACACCCTCAAGAGTTAGAACCGCTCATCAAACGTTGGTACTCAATCTTCAGCTGAAGCGCTCTTGCCTCCTCAGCATGCGCATGTGCCAGCGCAGCATGCATCTTCACCTCCGCTTCGCGGAGGCGAATCTCCGTATCCTTCGCTTCCTGGGAGCGCTGATGAGTGGCGACAGCTTCCTTGTCGCAGTGTACACGCTCCTCGCGCAAAAACTTGTGCTCATTTACCTGACGGGCGAGGTTGTACTTCGCCATGTAACGCTCGTTCTTGAGCTCGCCCCGAGTGATCCGGTCCGACTGGACGCTTCCGATCTCGTCGTTGAGCCGGTTCAGGTCGCCTTGAAGATCCGACCGCACCCGTTTCACCTGCCTCCCTTTCCCCTTGGAGGATGGGAGTTGTGACGTCTGGGAGGTGGAGGCAGGTGCCGACATCGTCGTTTTCGACAGCGAGGAGCCGCTGGACGAGGGTTTTGGCGAGTTGGCGCTGGTCCGGCTTGTCCTCGACACGCGCTTGCCGAAGGCAGCGCGACTATCGTGGAGGGAGGTCTGCGATTTCGGGGGAAGGACGAATGATGATGACTTGGGCGAGGGGGAACGAGATGATGAGGGGGATGCAGACTGACGTGCCCGACGTTTGGAGGCTCTGGGCTTGGGGGGGCTGTTCAAGATGGTGACGTCACCCTCCTCTTCCCAGTAATTTGACGTTACGGGAGGCTGCGGCTGTGGCACGTCGTCGAAGCGAAGGTCCATGTCCATGTCCTCGTCGTATCCGTCGCCGACGTAATTGTTGTCACAATACGTATCGGACTCGGAGGGGGCAGGCGCGGGAGGGTGAGAGCGAGCGATGATGCCGGGATGGGAGGGATGGTACCCGGATGGCGAGGAGGAGGAAGCGAAGGGGGGGACAGTAAAGGGCGCCTGAACAGAGGGCGCAGAGGGCGCAGAGCCAAAGGGCGCCTGGCCAGAGGGCACAGAGCCAAAGGGCGCCTGGCCAGAAGGCGCAGAGCCAAAGGGCGCCTGGCCAGAGGGCACAGAGCCAAAGGGCGCCTGGCCAGAGGGCGCAGAGCCAAAGGGCGCCTGGCCAGAGGGCGCAGAGCCAAAGGGCGCCTGGCCAGAGGGCGCAGAGCCAAAGGGCGCCTGGCCAGAGGGCGCAGAGCCAAAGGGTGCTTGGCCAGATGGCGCAGAGCCAAAGGGCGCCTGGCCAGAGGGCGCAGAGCCAAAGGGCGCTTGGCCAGATGGCGCAGAGCCAAAGGGCGCCTGGCCAGAGGGCGCAGAGCCAAAGGGCGCTTGGCCAGATGGCGCAGAGCCAAAGGGCGCCTGGCCAGAGGGCGCAGAGTTGAAGGGCGCCTGGCCAGAGGGCGCAGAGCCAAAGGACGCCTGGCCAGAGGGCGCAGGGACGAAGGGCGCCTGACCAGAGGTCTGGGCACCTTGGGTGAGAGCGAAGAAGTTAGCAGCGTGATCAGTTCCAGGGCGTGATGAGACGGTCTTGACGGATAGAGCAGGGTTTGTCCCCATGATGGAGAGGAGCTCGTCATACCACGGGAACGTATGTAGTACTTGCGCTGTAATTTTTATTAGTTTAATCTGATTAAATATAAATATAAAAAACATACCGTGCAGATTTTGAGCGACGTCGTTTGGCATGACGCCGGCACCCGTCGAGTTTAATTTGTCGTGACATTCACGAAACCTTTTTTTGAGACTGGAGGGAATGTTAGTACACATGTGAATCGATACGAAAAATCGTACCTCATGATATGATTGTTGGTCGAGTCGCGAAACTTATCCGGCACCTCAGCGTATTGCGCCGCATAGTTAGGATCAGCCTGGAAAACATGGCGGGCGACGACAGAGCAAACCGAGAGTTTATCCTTGCCCGATGGGCGATCACCCTCGGTATGCGATTGTTTCCCGTCCGAAAAGAACAGAACTCGGCAGTCTGCTGGATGGTTGCGGAGGTACTCGATAACCCTCTGGGTGCGAGAGGGGTCCGCCTGCCACTGCACGACGAGCTTGGGTGCCTGGGCAGCATGATCGTTACCTCGAGTACTCCGAGATTTTCCTCGGCCACGGGTGACGGGTCCTTGGTTGTAGTCCATAGATTTGGGCTGCAAACACTTGAGGCGTGCAGAACGACGAGGACGTGGTGGTCGAATGACAGGCATAGTTTTCGAAGTCCGAAACTATGCCGATGTGCCGCATGTCCTATGCGTGTTGTTCCTGCCTGAATTGTCAGTTTCTAACCGAAGTTACCGAGCTTTACCGAGCTTTACCGAAAATTCCCATTTTACTCTGAGTACCATTATTGCCGTACTCTTGGCTTGACCAGTTGAAGACAAAGAGAAGATACGTTTCAAGACAAACTTGTGTTCGTGCGCAGCCACAACTTGAAGGAGGCCTGCAGAATCTGATCATTTGTTGATCGCATCCTAGTACTAGTATAGAGCATTCCACCCTGCATCAATCTCATCGACGCAGCAACCTTGGACCGGGTACCCTGAGCTCGAGGAGAATCGAGGCGGAGAGTTATTTGTGCCACTGAACAGGATCAATAGAAATTTGAGGCGGCCAAATTGTTTACAACGTCCTTGAGCGTCACTTTGACCATGCCCGTTTCAACGTTTCAATCTCATCCGCTGCCGCATCATGGTAAGTTTAGCCTGCTAGTACCCTGATTAGTATTACGTGTACGGCGGAGTGCGCGGAGTTCATACTAGGCATAGCCCAAGCATAGCCAGTCACTACATACATACACCACCTTGCCTTTGGTTGCGTTCCGAGCTTCAAAGTAAGTAGTTATAATCCATCAACATCTTGATTATAGCTTACCAATTCGAAGCATTTTGAAGTCATGGGCCAGTTAATGAACATACCTTCCAGGGACTCCGGTATTATACCCCAAGTCGGTTTGCCACCCGAACTTTGGTCGGCAATATTCGAGCATCTTCCTCTCCGAACCCTTCATGACGTTACCCTCACTTGCCACTCCTTTCGTTATCTCGCGCAACCCCTCTTGTTTCGCTCCCTGACATTCTGTCCCTACTCTCTGGACGCCAACAACCAGCGCTTCATTCACCGTCTCGAAACTGTAAAGCGTACAAAGCGCCGCATACAATTTTGTTCCTCATTACGCATCGCCCATGCTGTTCGTGAATGCAAATTTTATCCCCGATATATTGTTGGTGCTGTTCTCAACACGGAGATTCCATATAATGTGCTTTTGGATATACTACTCGATACCCTACCGCTTTTCGTCAATCTCCAATCGCTATCGTTCATGTTCGTGGACCTCAGCCAGTCCCAGATATCAAAACTATGCGCGCTACGAAGCCTAGGGAACCTTTTCTTAGGCAATTGTACAGTGGAACATGTCCTATCGCTTTCATCTCCCAAATTACGGCTTGCCAACTTGACCATCATCTGTGATAGCAAAAATATGCTTGGGAACGGTCAGAACGGTCATGGACTATCTGTTTTCTCACCCGACCACATACGTTCCGTCTCTATAATCAACCCAGTCGCAGCCTCACAACTCCTAAACAATTTCATAGGAAACACATCGCAAGGCCTGCTACAACTCCGATGCCTCACATTACCTTGCAATTTAGAAGTCGTGCGCGCTTTCCGTCCTATACTTCATCTCATCCCAGAGCTAGCCGAACTCAAATTCGCCCGCCCCTCTCAAATCCAACACAACCTTCCCAGAGATGAAAATTTCTCCCTGTCTACGCATTTCAATCCACTCAAGCCCCTCTCGAAATACCAAGGTCCTCGTCAGCTTTTACCCCACTTTGTTCGCCCTGGTGCTCTCGAACATCTCAACTTGTGGAGTACACGCCCCGTGTCCACTGATGGTTCGATGAGTCCCTTGGAATTGCACGGAGCACTTGCGGGTGGCAATAAACTCGTGAGTGTATGCGATCCGGAGGTTCTCAAGACTGTACAGATGCTGGAGTTGAGCGTCACGCATGTCGATGCCCTCATGCTCCATGCTATTTGCATTCGCTTCCCAATACTGCGATCATTATACGTGTTTGCAGCAAAAGGCTTCTTTCCTGGTGCTGTTACGCAAGCGTGGGACCCTGAGGTATATGTCAAATCGTCCCTCCTCTATTTCGGGCTAAACTGTGTGTTTCAGGTGATAATGGACGCCCTTTTGACCCTACCTCTTCCCTCCACCATTCAGCATTTGCGACTCTCGTCGTATTCAGCTGGGTCACGCAGTGGAACTGCCACGGAAGACCGCCTTGTAAGACACAAACAAGACCTCCGGGTAAAATATCCTAATTTAAGCTCTGTTTCTCTGGATGAATCGGACATCGACCTAACGTGGGATAGGAGTACAGTGCTGCTCCATTGCTGAGATTCGAGGATTCGTTCAGTGCACAGCCTGCATTTGATTGACCTATATATATGTATCTATGCATAATTGTATACGATTTATTTCGGGTTGCCGCGGACTACTGTCTCCGAATAGGATGTTTCCCAGTCATTCCCTTCACCCGTCCTGTCGTTCCTGTACCCACCGACGATCTTCCACAATGCACTATCATAGCAAGTTCTTTCACACCATTGCTCTCCAAGCCCATGCTCATAGATACACTATCACTCCTCGTCGTCCTTGCAGTTTGTTCTACAAACCTAGCATACCCCGTAAGCAGAACCGATGTGATAGTTACTGTGACAAACGATGAACTCATTCTCATCAACGTTGGTTCAGTGTGCCGGAATATAGATGGAAAGGGTGTTAGTAGGGGATAGGTAGGTGCGTGGATGCCGTCCCCACGACATGGACGTGTTCGGATGCACACCATACGATTGAGCCATACTTGGAAATCAGAGCTTCCTGGGGGCCAGAGGAAGCTCGAGGCATCTGGCCATGCTATCTGATTCGGAGCGTCGGATATGTAGGGCGGAGGCAGAGGTCAAGACCAGAAAATTCTATTGAGCCAATTATGAAACACAGGAATGCGGATTTGCTTGATTGCAGGACTATTAAACGCGATACTCGTATTCTATGGAAGAGCCAGCCATTTCTCGAGCAATACAGGGAAGTTGAGAGTACCAAGACCAGTAACTGGATCCCATCCAACGGTCGCGTTGTAACCTTCGGTACCACAGCCCGGGTTTGACCCTTCGGTAATGTCATTGAAAGCACCTGCGAAATCAGTAGAGTAGATCTAACACCATAAATTATCAACTGAGGCGGGCAAAAGGGCAGGAACATACCGTAGGGTTAATGAACCCAATCGGGCTCTTTCCTGCAGCGAGACGGGCATCGTTGATCATCGTAAAGATGGCGCCGCTAACTGGTGAAGAACAGGACGTTCCATACACGAGCTCAAATTCACCGTCGACAGCGACAACGTAGTTCTGACGGGAAATAATATACGTCAAACCCCGCGTATCCATGCAACTTGTGACAGACACTCACAGCTCCGTTGGCAGCAATGTCAGGGAAAGCACGAGACTGATGGCTAGCTTTAGTTGATTGAACATATCACATTCACTCTCACACTTACCATGCCAGTCGAGTTCCACATAGTTGCGGGGTAGTTAGGAGGATAATTTTCCAGATAGTAATCGACAGCGGTCTTCTGGTACGAGGGCATCGCGAAGTAGTTACTGAAGCCTCCACCCGAGTAGATGACCTCCATGCAAGCCATTTCAGGTTGAGCGTCGAGGACACTTGCACCTGGCTTGACCATGGTAGCGCCGACAGATGTGACGTAGGGGCAGACACCAGGGAAACTGGGATTGAACATTGTACCGTTTACGGTCTGAGTGCCTGTTGTCGTGTGAGAAGATAGAAGTGAAAATTGAACTCAAGATATACCATCGGGGTTCAGGCAAACATCGCCATTACCAGCAACACCATCATCTCCAGAGCTGTACAAGATGGTAACACCCATCAAGCCAAGCTTCGCATACTCTGCGCACTGGCGCTCAGCATAGAACGGAGTAAGATCGGCCTCATTGTACCCGTATGATGTTGATATAACGTATGCGGGCGTGACAGTACCACAGTCCTCAGGCCCTATCAAAACATCCAAGCTTATTGTATTTCAGATCGAAGAAAGACAGGGACTTACCCTCATAACCCCCACCGTATGGGTCAGGATATTCGGCGTCCTCAGAGTAATCGTCACCACCCTCAAATGTACAGTATGACCCATCAATGGCGTCGAGGAAGTTGTTGAAAGAAGCCCCTGTCAACAAAGTCAGCGATATGCTTACGACGTTTTCTCCTGTTCTCATCCTACCTTCCACCATGTCACCAGTTTGGTAAAGAGTGACGTTTTGCTTGCCAGTGACCAACGTCATACCATATTGGAGATCGAGATCCGACTCGCCGTTGTATTCGAAACCTTGGTACTCGGTCTGTGCATACCCTGCAACATGTCTTTATGGTTTGATCAAAGAAGAACGTTAAGGTAATTACCTCCATCAATGGAAACCATGACTGGCTCCTTTCCGATGAGATCAGTAGAATAGTTCATGGCAAACATTTGCAGGTCGGATTGCAAGTACGCCTGAGGAGTGTATTCCACTAGGTGATGAATTAGCTCGCATGGTTACCAGTGGAATAGAATCCATACCGACGCCGAAGCTGTTAATGTCAGTAGAAACAGGTTCGTATACAAGTCCATATAGAGCTCTCAAGCAGATCGGAGTGATGTACTCGTCACACTGCTCAAGCTCAGTCACTAGCTGTGAAATAGTGCCAGTAGTCTTGGGGGTGATTCCTACACCAGGTTGACCGAGTGAGTGAGCGGCTTCCGACGGACTTCCAGATCGACGCTTGAGTTTCGCGTCGAAGCTGACGGAGGGCAGGACAAAATCAACATGAGCACTGATCTGCTCAGGGAGATGATAGGCCTCGCAAGCTAAAAAGTGGTGAGTGAGTGCCACAATAGTATCCTCTACGAAGATACTGACCGACGTGCTCCTGTCCAGAAACATGAGTATAAACATTATACTCTGTGTTCATGAGCCGTTCCGCTTCTTCGACCGTAACATCGACGTTAATCCAACCTTTGGTGGAACTTACGCGAATGCGCTCGCTCGCTAGCCCATTCTCAACAAGCCAGTCTCTAACGGTGGAGATAGATTCCTCTGAAGGTGAAAATTTTCGTGCGATCTCTCCTGCACTCCAGTGCTTGCCATAGTTGGATGACTTCGGGTGAGAAACATCATAAAGATATTCATCGATGAATTCGAGGTTATTCTGTTTCAGAGCAATGCGCAGAGGAAGTGTTGCTGCACTCTCGTGCCTTCGAGTTTGAGACCATCCAGCAGGAATGGCGCTGCGCTTCTCATGCACATTGTATGGGCTGAGAGCGGGCCTCGCCAAGGAGGCTACTGCGAGACTGAGGGTGACGAAAGTGGTCAATGAGCAGCGCATGTCGACGACCGAGACGACCAGAAGCTGACAACAAATCAATCACCAGCCATATCTTTTATAACTTTCTCGAGCACAGAAGCAGCATGGTTATGCGCCAGGATTAGACTGTAAGCACGCGAAACAGAGTCTCCTCGATGCGACACCCTCTCAAGGGCTTCACACACTGCGAGCTGTTTCCCCGAGAAACACATGGATGAGATACTCCTGGATTATACTGTCCACAGTCGAGAAGAGATACCAGAAAGGCCTCCGCTTTTGGTTAGATCCCTGATTGCCTATCGTAGATCAACATAGTTCTTCGACAAGGACGAGCTGTTACGGTGAAGCCGGTGATCGTTAGTTGATTACCAGCTACTCAGGAGCACCTTTCAATAATCTTTAAATCGCCCGTAAGTGGCTTGGGAATTAGGCATGAGGTACGGTAGCCTGTACAGGCAAAAGGAAATGTTCCCAGAAGTAGGATTTCAAAGTGTGCCATAACTTGATCGATTGGACCAATACTGTGGGTTTGTCAAAACACCGTGACTGCACAGCCATACAGACACTCTGACTGTCGGGCTCTCCCGGGTCGGAGCCGACGGACTACTCTTCCTGTGTCCGTAAATGATGGAGCTGCAGATTTTCTGAAAGTGCAATACAAGCTTGCAGAGATTGATTGTATAAATGTCCCAGCTATCTCCAGTCCCTTCCCCTTCTTCAATATCTACGCGGATTCTTTCGACAGACTAGTCCTTTTATTTATGTACCCTCGCACAGGGCAACCGGGAGTGCTCAATCCCAACGGCTGCGACGATTTTCCCTGGTGCTAGCCAGCAAGAGGCGTCACCCATGTGCTTCAACTTGAAGCGCGAGATCTCATTCTCTACACCCATAGTAGGAATTGTGCACGGTATCACTCTTCTTTTTGACAAGTGGAGAATAATGGGCTTGCAATACCCCACGTTTCAGGTCGCACAAGACGCACAAAAGCTTCTGACTTTCGGTCCTAAAGCATCTGTTACCAATATCGTGACAGTTGCTTGCGCACCGAATGTCCCACTCCGATAACTTCCGTCAGGACGCGTCCCAGTCTCCCAGACAAGTCCCAAATAACACATGCTTGATTCCCAACCTGGATTTCGCTTTACATTCCACGGAAAAGTTACTCGGGTTGCCATGGACTACCGTCTTTGAATAGGATATCGTTTCACAGCCATTCCCGTACCCATTGATGAGCTCCCATGACCACAACGCACTAGCAAGCTCTTTCACGTCATCGCTCTCCAGTCCCGTGTTCATAAGCACACCATTATTCCTTCGCGTCCTTGCAGTCTGTTCCACAAACCTGCATTGAAGTTGGTATATGGTATGTAGGAATCCTATATATTTTGAATTTTATATTTGGCCATCTACGCTCACATAAGCTCAGGTAACTAAGTTCCTCGATGCTAGATGGCTCAGCTACCAATGAAACGAAAACGTCCCGAATCAAAGTCAATGTCCGAAATCAAAGCAAAGCTCGTAAACTCGCTGGCAACAGGTACGCATAAGTGTCCAAAAACTTGTATGTCACTTTATCAGAGGGAGCGGCAAACATTGAAAGACCTTATACGTCGTTTGTAATCTCCTCATGTATGTCCTGCAAGCCGAATACTATCCACGTGCCATGCCTGCGCTAATCCGTGACGATGGCCTAGGTTCTATCGTCGCACTATCCAGCTGCGGGGATAAGACACCTACTTCTGTCTCACTCATGTTGCGCACAATACGTGCAAGTGGGGGTAGCACACCCACGTAAAAACGCGTCCGATGTTGTGGGTAAAGCCCCGCGTCGTCAGAAAATAAGCGCTGAGCCGCCCGTTCCAAGACCTCTCGAACACAATCGGCAGTCTTGCCCTCAAGGAGCGAGGAGGTCTCGTCACTATATAATAAAATCGCTCGGTCACGTGTGTTAGAGACAAACGCGAAAGACATTCTCATTGGCTGGCTATGTACCTTTCATACGGGAGGACTCACACACCAACTTGAAGGAGCACGATGGAAATTACTCCATGTGACCCTCAACCATTCACGTTTCAGCGAGCTATCTCCTTTAACACCGAAGTTTCTGCTGATGGTATGTTATCACGATTCCGGAGACGCATATCCAAGCTCTGCTACTCGTCCTTGAACATTAAACATCAGAGATCAGTCGTCTTCAAAACCCCATATTCCATCTAAAACGCACGCAAGAAGAACTCCAGGAATATGAGGACGACCCCAGATATCATCCTCCTGAACCGGAACCTGAAAGTAGAAATGGTAGGTATGGTGTATTTGGGACTGGTGATAATGGACTCGAGCCCTTGGACGCACCTCTCCCGGGAGACAAGTCGGGTCATCGAACTCGACTGGAACATGAGGAAGAAAGCGATGTGGGTCTGTGGTCCTACGTTAACTTGATCATAGTAACTGCCGCGTTGTACATGTCATCTAATCACTTTATGCGTTGGTTAAACAGGATGTCGCGAATCGATCCTTCAAGTGCCTGGTTTTTAGAAAAATTCCAATCTGTCCTATGGAGAGTCATACTCTATGGAGGACAGTTCATTCTAGTCTAAGTGCCTGGTTAATGTGCGTATGAAACGGGCTCTCAATTCCAATGTGAATGATTCTTCGTATTAATTAATCACCGATTCTAGTTCTGATATACACGTTGGTCTGAATATGTAATAGAATGGTAGAAGTTGTAGGTGGCAAACTCATAAATCCTTCAGTAACAGTAAAACGGAAAATGACTATCATACATCACTCCTTGCCGGGTAGATTGAGGTCACTAAATGTGCGTTGTCCACACGGTGGACATTGTCGTCTTGTCCAGGATCGTGCTAAAGCCACCCCCTTTGGCTCGCAGTGCAGCCAATGCTTCGATCACCCATACTATAACAATTATCACAGCCAGTCATGACCGTCAACGCGGAAGGCATGCAGCACCTATACTAGCATGATGCCCGTCGATAACTTGTGTGGGGGTGGTTTTTTCACCATTGGCCGGCCTGCAAGGCATAGTAAGACTGGCAGAACCAGCGAGTGCGCTACTAGCTTACTTTCTGCCCACGACGGCGAAAACGTAGAGCGTAAGGGCTCCGTTTGAAAGGAAGGCCACACAAGCCAAGATAGTTATGATGTTGACAATGACATTGTCGGACCCGAAGCAGGCGATAAAGATAGCTGCACCAAATGAAATGTCATACTCATAAGTAGATCTAAACACACCTAGTGCCTCACTTACCCACAAACAAAAAGCAAGTGGCGACTGACAGACAGATTGAGGGGTATGCTAACCATAACAGCAGCGCGATGACTTGGTATCGTGGCATGTACTGTGCTGTGTGTCAAATGGTGAGCCAGCCCAAACAAACTCACTCACCTTGAGGGTTTCCATGTCTTTGTGAGCGGTACTAGTTTCATAGATAACAAGTACAGCAGATCCAGATATTACGCTGAGCAATGCAGCATCGAATGAAATCATGGCGATGATGTACGAGATTGGAGAGTTATAAGCCATCAAATGCGGCACGGGAGGCGGTGACGACAGGAATAGAGTAGTAGTTGCGAGCACGAGCCCGGCCTGAAGTCTGGCCATTGAACGCCAGCCATGAAGTCAGATTATATGACATACAGTGACGTTTGTGTTCTGGAATCGATTGACCATAATTGAGACATGTTCCTTCCAGTCTTTGTTCTTTGTATCTTTCCAATGGTCGAGAGACTCCCGAGAGACTGCGATAATGCACAAGATTTTGAATGCCAACTTGAGAATAGGATTATTGGGAGCTCGACAGTTTTCAGGGACTTGAGAGACGGAATTTGCAGACTCGGACGTCGCCATGGTGGAGGTGATTCGAGTTGCTTTTGAAAGCTGAAGGGTATTTAAAAATACTCTATATACTGTTTATGCACGATGTATCACTGCACAGAACTTGGTACCTCAAGATCGTGAGAACGGAATGTTATCGAACCACCCATCATTTGCATTGGAGTGCGAGTGCTTTAGAGTGGGTTACGTTGATTGCGCCTTTACGTACGTCGTAATGACATGGTCTGGATATATGATTGTCATGTGTGATGGTATATAACACAATATGACTTTCTCACCAGTCCTCTAAGTTGAGATGGCCCCAAGTCAAGCCCAAGTGCGGAGTAACTGGATATAACTCATTCCGTTTAGGAGCCGAGTCGAAGTTGCAGCCGTTGCGGAACCAACGGGCGTGACAGTCATGGCATCACAATTAACGGCAAAACCCGATTGTGTTCTGCTCAAGCAGCCACTGAACTAGAATGCAGACTCGGACACGTCGACGCGCCCGTCGTTGTCGCACATGACGTCAAACTCGACTTCTACCTGTACAGCTCTTAAGACGCGTGCGCTGTCGATCACAAATGATACAAGCGATTGTACAACAGTGGAGCCCGCCATAACAATCCCATCAGAACCTAATGGCCGTACATCCATAGGAGCGCCCAGAGCAACGAGGTACATACTAATAGTACTGATTCCGCAGCAAATTGCGTTTGCGCATCGATGTCTTTGTAAGTTTTAGAAAATTTGGACACATTAATGCCACGGTGACCTTGAAAGAAGCGCGCTTGAGAGCAGGCAGGCTAAGCTTGATTCTCTCCATGGTATCAAGCATAGAACAGCTTGCTTGGGCCTGCATGCACAACCGGAGTTTGAACCTTGATAAACGAATCGTGATTCACGAGTCGTGACAAGTTGTTTAACTCTGAACCTGTTGAGCGTTTGCCGATTACAACCCGTGGAGTTCAGCAAATTTAGCTCATCGCGAAGCCTAGTTTAAAATGGTGAGCTCGCAGTGGAACAAAGGGAGCGGCAGGGAAGTCAAATTACTGACTGTATCTCGTTTCTCTCTAGCCACTTTCTGGCACAACGATAGTGATATACATCGGCAAGGGAACCGCACGAAGCATACACGAAGATGGCAGGCTGAAATAGACAACTCAAGCGCCTCCACTGATGGTCGGCGTGGAGTTCGACGCTAGCGTTGATGGCATAAATGCAGTGCACAGGTTACGGACACGAAAATAAGTATAATCACTACATCCTATGTAGCGCCTCCTGCCATGCGCCAACGGCTGCCAAAGATGTTGTCGACCCTCCGAATAGCGCCAGAGTCAAAGATGGTTCCCGTCCTCCGCACTCATAGAGCTTTCCATCTCTATCACAACTTCTAGAGGCTCTCGGCTCCACGCCAGATCTCAACTCCATTCTTGGAGTTGTTGGCAAATTAAAGGGAAACAGAGTACCTACCGATTCGTGGGTGCTGATACAGCTAATCTTAGCCATATTCCTGCGATGGAATCGGCTCATGCAATTTACTTATTTCCCTAAAGACAAGGAACTCCCTCTCCCTACCTATCAAAACAAGATCACGAACTGATAACCGTCTCGAGTTCTCCAAGGATTGGAGCGTGATGTCAAGTCAACAACACTCAGGGGAAGATCTGACCACAGTCCCCCTATCCCCGCACCAGCCATCACAAAAATGCCAACATGCACTGCTCGAATTTACATGCGTATGCAAGACTCGTCAGGAATGTTTCTATGATGTTATCCGGTGAGTCCTCCTGTTTCTTTTAACCGCTTTAAAACTCATTCTAATCGATCCCAGTTCATTTTCCGCCACTCAGTTTCTCATGTAGTTCAGAAATTCCACACCCTGGGGTCTAGCTCCTTCTATGACTCTCTGTGGTTATTCAACTTACTAATCGCTAATTCAGTTCGCGCACTCGCACACCCCGACACCTTCAGTACACTACCGTAGCTCACGCCTAGGCAACATTGATGCCATCGTTAGCGATGTCGTACAGCCCCCTGCACTACCCCCCACTAACATGAGAACTGTACAGGTGCTGGTGATGTAGCTTACCAGAATGTCCCGGCACCATGCGTCCAGCTGAGCGAACGCGCTCTTCGCTTCCTTTGTTCGCTTTCTTCTCTGCCACATCGTCGAGTTCGTCATACTTCGCATTTCCTCACTCACACCTTTTTCTTTGGATCCACCCACCGTTCCCTTCAATTTGTGTTTGCACTGTATTTCACATTTTTAGTTCCTTTTTAATCGAGCATTATTGCATTATGGGGTACCAATGCATGTTTCGTTTCGAAGCTGCTCAAAGAGTATTCGCCCTCTTGAGCGGCTCCACTTGCTCGGACTACTTAGGCTCAGTCCTACCCCGAGTTAATGCCCGGTCCAGCCCAACCTATCAGCGACTCTTACCTGATGTGTCCAGTTGCGCTGCTCAGAGTACTATCGTTGGGCCAGAGTTGCAAAATTGTATAGAGTTGCAAAACGCTTCATAGCTCATGCAACAACACATCTTAAGTCCTCTACTCTTGGATCTAGGACCTTCCAACACAGATTCATAGCATTGTATTTTTTTTATAAAAAAATAAGTATGAGGAACATGTACGGCTTCAAATCTATCACTCGAAGTCACCTGTTTTGCATAGAATAGTTAGGGGAAGACGAAGTTTCTAACCAAAAAATTTCATTTTTTTTCACATACACTTTATACCTACCCTTACCTTCTGAGCATTTTTCCGATGAGAATAGAGCAGAGTTGTGGGTGTTATTGACGATGCAATCACTGGTGTCAAAGAATGCTCAAGCGTGACAGGTTGGGGCAGAGAATCAATTCTGATTGCGGACTCTCTCACGCTGCATCATGTTTTAATAGGTTTAAACGAGTTGAATCAACAATCGCACTCGGCCCAGGCCGAGTCCACTGGTCTGTGCGCACCTTCGTCACGTCTGACGTACACCTGTGACCAGGTCTCCTAAACGTTGGTAGCACAGACTTCTAGATGAACTAATCTTTCGTCTTCGCGGTCATCCAACGTTGAGCACCATCTGCTCGCGCACACTCTGTGCCATAATTTAAGCTATTTATTGAATTTCGTTTTACAACTTCAATTCGGTCGTAACCTCCATGTCCAGTTCGCATAATGTCTCATCTAACACTCTCTCTGGACCCGGACAAGAAGGGTCTTCGGCTCAAACCAACCCTTCAGGATCGTCTTTATCCCAACAAGAGTTGGTGGAGAGGTGCCTCAACGTTGTCGAAAACTACAAGCATGCCATCATTTCTAAACAAGAAGCTTTCATCTCAATCACTAAGGCTATCGCATCAGCATCAAACGAAGCCACGGACCAAGCGGAGTCTTTCATCACGACTCCGTACTTCGATATGCTCGAAGAATGGTCCAGAGATCTCGACTTGGCCAGAGGACAGCGGGGACCTGATGATATGTGACGGTCTGAAGACAGGGAATCCATCCCTCCTAGAGAGAATGAGTTTCAGCGAGAGCAAAGCTTTGAGCGAGGAGAACCTGCTCGAAAGCGCTCAAAACTCGACCATACCTGTCTCAAACGCGCAGAACAGTCTTTCAGTGGAGAACAACTCTCGGCAAACCTTACACGCACTAACGAAATCCTCCTCAACTGGTCGCAAGACCCAAAAGAAGTGCGACGTCAGCTCATGTATCACCGATGCTGCCCCGAATTTCATGAAGCCGGATGGGCAGAGATCGTTGCTGGAAAGAGTATCAACCTCGACGCAGTTCACTCCATCATTTCCTCCTCGTGTACCATTGACAAATGCACAGAAACACTCGGAGACATTGAGATCAAATTCTCTGGAACTTCGGAAGCAACTTCCAAGAAAATCACCTCCACTGCGCAATGGTCCACAGCATGGAACAGAGCTGCCAGAGCCATCAAATTCGCGTTCCCTCATAGAGAGGATGAGCTCGCCTGTTACGGAGAATATATTAATGACAAATTTGACCGCAAACTCCAGCGGACACATGAAAGGATCATCAGATTCGACAAAGCTGTCCAGAATAGAGCCGCAAATTCACGAAGAGTTGAACTCTCGGACTTTGCAGCCTTTACCGACCTCTATGAATCGCACTTCCAATCCGACGGAGTCCACTTTGACGAAGACAAGCAGTCTTCCAAACTCGGTGCATCTGCACGAGAGAAGTCTGCCTTCAGCCGTCGTGAGCCCTGTTGTAAATGGAATTCAGGTGAATGTTCCCGCAGCGCTCAATCATGTCGTTACGCACACGTCTGTTCACACGAACAAGATGGGAGACTCTGTGCACGTCGGCACACGGAAACGAAGCATCATGAGGAGTCTAAGTCCAAACTCACTTGAACCGTCGCTTAAACGTCCGCGTCATAGGCGAGGTTTGATCTGGTCACCTACAGATATATCTTTCAGTCCTACCGCATGGTCCACGGAATACGCAGAACCTGTGCCCATGCCGCCATTGAATGAAGTTGAAGGAAGTGATGCTGCTCGCACGATTGCGGACAACCCTCATTTGTTTCGCATTGTGACACCCATTAACGTTGACCGCTTTGAAATGTTCCTTTCAGACCATCCAAACCAACCGTTTGTTGAGTCTGTATGTCGGGCGTTACGTCTAGGCTTCTGGCCATGGGCCGATACCTCGGACAGCTCGTACCCTTCCATTAACGACAATTCTTCTCACACATGTTCAAAAACCGACGACCAACTACAATTCATTGAAGATCAAATGCGCGAGGAAATATGTTTGGGCCGTGTTTCAGAAAGCTTCGGTACCAAACTTTACCCGGGAATGTATAGTGTGCCGATGCACACTGTACCAAAACCTAACTCGGATAAGCTGCGTCTGGTCGTTGACCACACAGCGGGTGATTATTCACTCAATTCTATGATTGAACATGACGCGATTAAAGGGTCGAAACTCGATGGATTGCATTCACTTGGAGCATCATTGCTACGTTTTTGCGAGCAGCATCCTAACGTCGAGCTAGTCATGTTCAAATCTGACGTATCGCAGGCCTTCCATCATTTACCTATGCATCCGCTATGGCAAGTCAAACAAATCCTGACCGTGCACGGTCAACGTCACGTTGATCGGAACAATAATTTCGGGGGTAGAGGGTCTCCTAAAGTTTGGATCTCTTTCATGTCCCTAGTCGCCTGGATCGCCATTCATCGCGTACTCATTGATGCTCTCAAAATGTATATGGACGACTCCTTCTCGTTCGAAGTCGCCGGACGGACACTATACTATGCGCCGTATGATTGTCACTTCCCCGCAAAGCAAACTCAGTTGTTGCAATTGTGGGATGACCTTAACTTACCACACGAGAAGGCTAAACAGCTCTTTTGGTCGACTCTAACGGTTATAGGATTCAATGTCGACCCAAATGCTATGCTGGTCACGCTGCCGGAGGAGAAAAAGGACGCGCTGGTGACAGAGTTACGGCGCTTTGCTCGCAAGAATCACCGTTGGTCGTTACGTGAATACCAACGGCTCGCAGGATGGTGCGAATGGAGCTTCAATGTGTTCCCTCTGTTAAAACCGGGATTGTCGGTGCTCTATGACAAGATCTGGGGAAGTCAAACGCGCTGGCTATGATACACGTCAACAACGCGCTACTTGATGAGCTGCACTGGCTCGCAAACCATGTTGAACGTTCTGACAGACTTTACTTGTTCAAAAGTTTAGACTTTAACCCGGCGAGTGATGACGTCGCAGTGATTTACACTGATGCTTCGGGAGTGGGATTAGGATTGTGGTTTCCAGACGACCAATTTGCGTGTCAATGCCACCTACTGGTTGAAGCTCCCCGCGACACCATATTCTTCTTCGAAGCACTCGCTGTCTGTTCGGCTATCCACTCAGTGGAGAACATGACAGAAGTCCCAGGCAAACTCCTAATCTACACCGACAACTCAAACACCATGGCTATGTTCGACTCGTTGCGAGCCAAACCTGGCTATAACTCGTTGTTACGGTCAGCGGTGGATGTCCTACTTAAATATGGAGTAGACCTGCGTGTGCAACATATTCCGGGACAACAGAATGTCATCGCAGATGCGCTGTCCCGTTTTCATAACGAGCTTGTCATGGACATCATTCCGACAGCTGATATCTGCGACTTCGAACCCCCTCGGGATGCGTTGGGGGCGTCGAGAACATGATCTCGAGTGAGACACGGTCCAAGCAACCCTTACGGGAAGCTTGGACACTGGAGCGGTTGGAGCTCAAACGGTCACTAGCTCTTGGATCTGCTATCGAATCCACAACCGCTTCGGCATATGATTCGCATTTGAATTCTTACCTTAACTTCTGTCGGCTTCACAATCGTCCAGTTGAACCCACACAAGACACGCTCTCCTTCTTTGTCGTCTGGCTATCACATTACATCGAACCGCGGTCAGTAGATTCGTACCTTTCAGGGATCGTTGATCGTCTAGAGACGCACTTCCCGCACGTGCGCGAAGCGCGGAAGTCATTACTGGTGACACGAACGCTGAAAGGATGCAAGCGTCGTCTCTCAAAACCAATCCAACGGAAACTACCATTGACTGTTGACGATCTTGAGCGCGTCATAAATGCTCTCAGCGCGTCAGATGCTTACAACGATGGATTGTTCCTGGCGCTACTTGTCACTGGTTTCAAAACGCTGCAACGGTTAGCGGAATTATGCTGGCCAAACGCTAAAAAACATCAATCATATCACAAAGTTCCCCTCCGACACTCTCTCATACTGACAGACAGCTCAGCATCCTACACTCTACCTCTTCACAAAACCGGGACTTCGGGAGAAGGATGCGAGATTTTGCTATTGGGGGAACCAGAAGGACGTGTAGACGGTTTGAATATCTTTCGGCGGTACGTGTCTGCCCGAGATAGAGTGTTTGTGCACCACCCTCAGCTTTGGATCACTGTGGATGGGAGCGTGCCCACTCGCGCATGGTTCATGCGCTATCTACGACGGTTCTTCCCACCTACAATCTCAGGGCACTCCATGCGTGCCGGAGGAGCGACAGCTCTTGCGGGGAACGGTGTCGCGCCTGCGCTGATTCAGGCAGCGGGACGCTGGTCCTCAGACGAATTCCAAAAATACATTCGGAAGCATCCGTTCTTGCTTCACCTTCTTGTTCACAGTTCGCAAGGTCATTAACTCACCGAGATGTACAGCTCCTGTCTCTGACAGCTCCGTTCTTGTTTGGTTTGAATTTGTATTTGTACATTTGAATTCTGATATATCTATTAACTAAAAAAAAAAAAAAAAAAATAGCCCTATAGCGCTTGGTCGGTCAAAACTTGACCTTCCCTTCAGTCAGCAGCCACTTTTGGGGCTTGTACATTAGTTTTTCTTCCCTTCAGTCAGCAGCCACTTTGGGGGCTTGTACATTAGTTTTTCCCCTCAATTCTTTCGGTTAACGGCCACGTTGGTGGCTTGTACATTACTCTTTTCCCTCGAAGTGATAGCTACGATTTGTACGATACATGTACTACTGTCTTCTTACGAGCTGTCACATCTCGGTGCTAATATTGATCGCGGACCCTCCGAGCATTGAGCTGGAGGGTCCCGCTTGCCCTAAACTCATTCGAGCGCCCATCACCAGTGCAAGTTGATTCAATCATCCTAATGCCAATGTTGCTACTTTCTCATCTCATAACGTACCGGTTGCCGGATCGGGGTTCATATTTATAAAATTGACATTGTGACATAGTGTGACATCTACGCCAACCCGCTCATGGGAAATTTTGCAACTCTACTATTTCTAACATCTTGCGTCGGCATCCCTCTGGCAGCATCTTTTAAATACCTTTTGTTCTTCTGTCAACTAGAGCTTTCCTATGACACACGTAGCTATAATTCCATGTAATTATTTTGTCTCAATGTGGGGTAGTTATTGAGATATGAAAATGAGGTCTTCAGATTTTGCAACTCTGGCCCAACGATAGTACCTGTATTAATAATGCCCAGTGAAAATCGACAAGAATGAGGTAGATAGGTAGCAATAGACGTCTAAGTACAGAATGAGATAGATAGAAATCTAAGAAATTCGAGACGGTAAAACTCTAATTTTGTGCAAAATGCAAAGAACCTTTGCAAAGGTAAAAAAGCAAGCATGTCAAACTTTGTTTGCACACTTTGTAACAAACTTTTGACAAACTTTGCATATGCATGCAATATTGTGCATGTACATGCATATTGTAGGTGCATAACTTCTTGCATTTGCACATATGTTAACTTTATCGTATCCGAGTGACCGAGTCGGTGCAGTTGAACCACATGCATCTTCTCCTCCGCCCACCATGTCATTCATCCCTGCCGCGACCCCCGCTCAACACAATCACTCCCTTGTGTTTCTAGCACAACTCGACAACCACGAGCCTGAGATTTCTCTACTTTGCTTGAACTAATCTCGTCCCCTGCGCTTCCCAATAGCATAGCGCACCGAAAACCTCTTTGTCTTCGTCAAACTAATGTACAGCAGCCTTCTGATCTCTGTACTGCGGGTGCATTCCACAAATTCATTAATATTCTTCAACTGCTTATCTTCATCAAGCGCATCGTAGCGATTTACAAGCCAAAGGAGGAAAATTGCTTCTCAGACCCGAGCGTAGCTGCCTTTGACTCCGTATCAGAACCGAGTGTTCCACTCATCGCACGAGCACAATCCTGTCGCATCCATCATGCAAGCTAGTGTGCCCATTCCTGTTGGACTCGACCTGGACACATGGATTGTGCCGTCAATGCAAGATCGCGTCACAGAAGAGGGTGGTGATGGAGGTGAGCACTGTTCACTACATCCTATCACATGCACTGACCATGTGTCCTATAGCTGGCTACCTCTGGACTGGTTCAAGTAGACGACAACCACGATAGCTAGAGGGTGCATGATGAGATGGATGGCGGGATGGCGGGCGGGATGGCGGACGAAGCGCAGCGAGCAGCGATGGCATACCCTACTCACCTAATGATAGTGATACCACCCTAACCCTAGCGATACCTATAGATAATTCTTATTTGTCTGCATTAGATGTATATCGATGTGTTTTTGGATCAAATCGAGTGATATTTCGTATGTAAATGTGTATCAGTAGGTCTAGACAGATCGAGAATCGTATCTAAATGTTTAAATTGTTTCTCGATGTCATTCTTTTTCTGTCTCGAAAAGTCTCATTTGTCTAAATACATCGAAATACATCGATAGATTTCATGGGCATTTATTTTTTAGATATCTATATACGTATATCTACCCGATTCTTGTCGATTTTCACTGAGAATAATGCCTTGTCGGGAACGCCTGTGAAGAAATCTTTAAACCTCAGACTGACAGCCGATTAATAATGTGCTTGCGTGGAAAAACCTTGTCACCCGCGAGGGAACGTAGTAGCACGTGCAGGGTGCACTGGTTTCATAAACTTTGTTATTAAATGGTATCCTCTTGAAAAGTATCATATGCAATACGCTGCAGCAAGCCTGGATTTGGGTCGGTCCTTCTAGTCCTGACTCCTGGTCATCATCCCAACTTGACAACTGCCAGTCCCACCGAACGCGTGATACAATCCCTACTACTTCAACTCACCTTTCGGCATCGAACTCGGGACACAATGTTGGGCCGGCAGTCTCACGACAGTTTGCGCCTTCTGGCCAGGATACCCTCGATGCCAGTTTTTAACTTGAGAGTTACCGCGCAGCCAGTTGACGACGACGTTAGTGCTGTCGGCCTCCAAATATATCTTCCTGGTCTTGCTATTGATTAATCTTCGGTCTCTACCGTTTGCCTGGCACAGTGAGTACGCATTCGTTTTTGCTAGTGATGAGTCTACCAAACGCAATGGCTTCTTTGAGTTCGCGTGTTCCTACCAGTTCTGCGACTCCGTCTCCAGTACTACCTCCTACGACTTCGCATCTTGTTCAAGTCCAAAGAGCTTAAGGCAAAGATCCTTGCCGACTGGGGCGAAGGTTTATGCCCAGTTGGCACAAACCCCTTCGAGCTCGTGACCATTCATCATGGCTGGACGAGTACGTTTTAATCAAAGTCTCTCATGAAATGTAAACTTACCTGACTTTAGGCGTGGACGACGCCGATTACAATGGACACCTCAGCAATTCCAGTTACGCGAAGGTAAGGGTTCAGTACACTCAGTCATTCAAGTAGCACAATGATGACAACCTTCTTTGCTCAGGCCCTTGATGCAGCCCGTTTGAAACTGGTTCTGAAGGCTTTCCCTGCTTTCGCAAGGAGTGGCGGGTGGATGGCTCTGGGTTGTACGTCAATTTCACTCCACATATTTCTCAATCGATATTCATTCCACATGTAGCTACTCACTTTCATTTCATTCGAGAAATACCGTTCTTGAGGAGCTATGAAATAAGACTTTCCATCGGGGCATGGGACCATAAATGGGTGAGCTCTTAGCATCTATAGAATTCACACAGGAAACAATCTAACATGGACAAGATGTTCGTTATTGCTCGCTACGTCTCTTCCACAAAGAAGAAGCACAGTAATGCCACCCATAAACTACATGTGGACGGATCAGGTCAGCAACTGGGGACTAATAATGATAGCACCAGACCATCAAAGACACTGACAACATCGAGTGACTTTCCTCGGATTTTGCTGAGCACGCCTGCGGAAGACTTGGCCACCCCTGCAACCCCCGGCAATACGACTGAGGCGGACTACAACCTTCAAGCTGAAAAGACGAAAAAAGAAATAGAAGCTTTGGCTGCCGCACAGTCAAACATACCTGAGCCCGACGGTGCCGTACTTCACTGTGTGGCGATCTCATACATTTGCTTCAAGCACGGCCGCATCACAGTGCCTCCTAGCGTTATTCTCCCATGCGAAGGATTCTCGAAACCTCCCAGTACTGCTTCTGCCGCGCCGTTCTCGTCGACGAACCCTCCACCTCACTGGAAGAAGGCCCAAGCATTGCGCGTCGCTCCATCAGGTAGTATACCTGCATTTGCGAAATTTCTGAAAGGAGGCTGGCGCGATGTGCCTGAAGACGAGAGGTGGTGGGAAGATGCGTTGGATGGGCCGATAGAAGAGCAACGAAAAGCGAATCTCGAAGTCCTTGATTCCGTTAGGAGAGGGATGGAAGGGGCGAGATCCATTGGTTAGTTACTGAAAAAAAATCCTATATTATTGAAGCTAGTTCGACATTCACTAAATCAACGTAACTCACACTTCGTCTGGACTCAACCCTGTTGTTGGGCATGGCTATAAGGCTTTTTTCTCATTAGTCAAGGCAACCTCACTTACATACGGATCGTTCCCGCCGAGTACATGAGCCTTTTTCCAATTTATTGTTGGCCCAATTCGAGATCAGGGTTCGGAGATGCGCACCCAGCTCCGATTGTGATTTGAATCGTCTTGGTGCAATAACAATATATTGCCAGCTGGACATTCGACCCACGGCGTTGGCGTCGTATCATTCACATTCCAGCCAGAACTGGCACTGACTGGCACCAAGTGGTCCTCTGTGGCCCTGCTATAGCACTAGTGCTTTCACCAATTTATCAATCGTCCAAATATCCGTCCAAAACCGAAAGCATACGAGGCGCGAGGCTGCACGTGCACTTCGTGTAGTAATTATGACTGGTATCCGCCTTTGATATGCTCTAGTAAGTCATCAGCTGCAGTGTTCCACCGGAGTCTTCATCTCGTACTTGCGCTCACCAGTCAATGAGCAGTTCAATCATATCATTGAGCGAATGATTATTCTGTCAGTACTAGTCCACCATATGTGGCGAAGATAGATCGAGAGTTCGCAGCAAACTAGTAGACAAAATCAAGGAGGACAACATTCAATACCAACATCACAAATTCTGAAAATACACAAGCGACGTAAACAAAAGGTAATGCAAGATAAAAAGACAGCATGACATCTAGTACATGAAATCGACAGTTTCAGACTTGGGACTGAGATGACCCTGTAGCTTCGATGAGGCGTTCCTTTGTGCGTAGGTCAGGTGCCGGATAGACGAAAATCATTGAGAACACACCTGTGCAAGTTTCTGCCCTTCGGATAACATTATTAACATAAGGAGGCAGGACTGCAAGCCTTTCAAACACCATTGCCTTTCAAGCCAAGAGAGGAGGCAGCGATCCAAGAAGAGCTTGAATTCATGGTTGAGCATGCGGTCCGTTGGACCCCGGGCTGGAGCTCGCGAGAGATGGAAGACCCAGTTTTGACATGCATACTTTAGGGCGTCAGAGGATGATTGACTTTGATCCCGTGCTTCGTTTGCGAAAATCGTAAACGCGGTCATAACTTAGTATGAATGACCTCGATGTCTGGACAATCTTGTAGGGATGCAGAGGTAGAATGATCCTGGGGCCTTAACGCCAGGAATGCCGGAAACATCAAGAAATCTGGTAAGCTCTTAAACTCCTAGATCACTTGAAAAGCTGGCGAGAAAGGCAATCGCGGGCTGATCGCGCACTCGCCGATTGCTTCCAACTGCGCTAGAAAAGTCTTCCATCGTCACCCAGCTCTGCCCCGCTGCGGTCGCTCATCCTCGTCCATAGTCACGGGAGTCTTCGTGAGGCGGGGATGATCCTCTGGGTAAAAGCAATAAATGCTGGAAAGTTGTTGAGGCATTATGGCATACTGCATGATGTCGATGCTCGAAGGCACGACTATCAACGAGTTCCGAAGAGCCTTTGGAAACTTTACCGACGACAATAACCGTAGGCAGCGATCTTCCACCCATCAGTGGCTTGCATGTCCTGTGCACACGTTGAGAGAGATATGTAGATAGAAAGACAGGGAATGAGCCTCATACATCAACACAATAAAGTCTCAAGGTAGTCTCTTCATCGGCAGTGGCGGCAATCACACGAGCATTATCAGATCCGGACGTCAAGCGCACATGGCGCTAGTGTGGAAGGAAATTGGTTTCATATCACGGACTTGGAAAAATACTGGCGGCCGCCGCAATGTGGCACATCGAACCGCTTGCCTGAACGGTTCATCGTACACGTTCAGTACTCAGTTCGCACAACCCAGTCTCGGACGTCAGACAAGTGGTAGCCTACGAGTCAACTTTTTATAGTCAGACTTGTACTAATTCCTGACAGGTTTGCGCATCGTTCTCGTCGTCAATTGACAACATCTATAGATTCACAGCGGTAGAACTTTTTGCACTCAGGAAATGGCTCAATTCACGACCAAAACCGCTACTTATCCGCTAGCAAAATATTCGCGGTCATATCCTACGAGCTCATCATCCACTCAGAACCTTGTTTCAGATGCAGAATGGCAACATTTCGTCCACCCCGTTATAAACCTCTACCTGGACGCGAAGACTTCTTCTGCGGGAAAGCTTGTCTCTGTTCGACTTCGAATTATATGGAATTTCGATAGCAGCACTGATAGCACGGAGGTCGATCAAAGAGAGATTACCCTCGTAGGCTCTTACTGACGGATAACGAATCATACTAAAAAGCGTAATCTTTCAGGAGGATCTTGATTTACTCTCCTTCTCGTCGATCTCAAACTCGAGGACGAATTCTGGGCAACCTGACCACGGTCTTCCTCTCAGAGCTGCCTATCGGGATACTATCGTTGGCATTCGGTATTTGCACCCGAGATTAGCAGACTCGACTTGTCAACCAGTACATATGTGCCGTTTCTTCCAAGCATTTTACCTAAGTTTTGTTTTAGGTATATCGGCGCTTCCAGATCACATTTACCACTGCAACGAGTGCAGCTCAGTTTATTGATGCTGTCCGACCTGTTTGTCCTTGTAGATTGAATCCACAACCGCAGCCTCTGGTCACTCGCGTCCCTCCTGTAGCTACTGCAGGCCTTATTGACGACATTCCCCATCGAGGTACACTCACAGCTGTTTCGCAAGCTCTTCCATCGATGGGTGGAACTCCATTCAGACTTGCGCCGACTACACTTCTTTCAGAAAATCCGTCGTCCGAATCCAATTTATCGGCATTCGCACCATCGACGCCAGTTAGGTTTACTCCTGTGGCTTTGAGCAGCAGTTCTACGAAAACGACATCCGTGGCTGCACCATCTCACGACGGCACCTTCGTTACACCTCCAGAAACACTTCCGATAGCCATCCCAAAGACCAGCCAATGCCAAGCATCGTCTGGTTCCATCCACTCTACCAAAGGCTCTGTACCTGATTCTTCCCAACCATCCTCGTCTACTCTCAGTAGCTCGAACACGATGCCCCCGCCTCCACTTCCCTCGAGCGTCACGCGATCTCTTCAATCGGAAAATCGACCATCAGAATTTCGTAATTCAACTCGAGCCCAGCTTGTTGCATCACTGCATGACACTCCGGCCCTTCACAAATTATCCCATACAGAACTAGAATCTATCGTAGCACAAGTCATCAGAGAGGAAGGTTTTGCCCAACTGGTGAGCGTTCTCCAAGTCGTCGAATCAAATAATCCATAGCCCCGGCTAATTGGACACCCCCAGCTTGCTTCCTTGGACACCATGTGGAGAGTGAAGAGCTTGTTTGGTCAATAATGCCCGACACTCTTGAACGCTACCCATTTCTTGTTATACTTCGAAATGTTGCCTTGTATATGTATAAGTCTCTAATATCACGGTCGTTGCCATCACCTATCTCATGTATTGCTTCCATTGATGTACCAACAACTTGCAATTCATGAACGCTTTCCACACCGATTCCTCTAAGTACCGTTCTATTTTTTCAATGCTTGTCACTTTTTAAGGTACTAAATGGGTGGTATGGGGCGTGTCGTACGGTCGAAATCACAAGTTTCGAGCTGCTCCGGTGACGTGCCATTCGACAGAGTCGGCAGTCGACTTATACAGTTAGCGTATCGCACGGATGACGACGAAAAGGTTTCGTCTGAGGATTACTCAGGGTGAGCTTGGTCCGAATCTCTAGTCAGCAGCATAGAGGACCTGGTTTGGGGCTTTGGTTAATCTTTCGAATCGGCAGCCTCAACTACACCTCTATCCTCTCTTCATGCTTGCTCACTTCCGACGGAAAGAAAACACATCTCCTCAGGAATATTGCATGGCACTGAAACTGCACATCAATATTTGATCACTGGTGTGAGTACAAATCAAGGTTCGCCTGGCACATTCAATCTCTACACTTCTTACCCCCCACCTTCGCTTCAATCTACGACAGGGTGGGGAGAAGTGTGGAGTTTGGAACATACTAATACTTACAAACAAATGATGACCATATAGCCTCGCTGCTGTCGCTGGCTTTGCAACAGCCAACAACTTTAGCTCTGTAAATGGGAGTGTTGAGGAGTAATACCGTGTTGCGCGTCCTTGACGAGTTAAAGTAAAGCATGGCAGGGCTGTGGTTGCGTTGGTCGATTTTCAGGCAACTTAGTACTCAGCAGTAATATTTCGCATCCGTATTGCAGCCTGAGGCGCTTATGAGAAGCCCAGAATCTCCTTGATAATGATAACGTCTACATGGTATTATCCAGTCTACCACTGGCTTACAATGTACACCACGTAGCATTGACTCCAAAAATGTCGAGCTCAAAGCCTACGGAAGGAGTAGCCACTTCGCAAGAAGCTTCGGGAAATTGGGGGTCCCCAGTCCAGTAACTGGGTCCCAGCCAGGAACGGCAGTGTATCCAGCAGTGCCACATCCTTGATTTCCGCCCATGGTGATATCATTGAAAACGCCAGCAAAGCTAGGCGAGTAGATCTTCATTGCAACAGTTAGTAAAAAGGTAACAGTGATTCGAGGCAGACACTCACAGTTGGGTTAATGAATCCTATTGGGCTCTTTCCAACTGCCAGACGGGCATCATTAACCATCGTCAAGATGGCACCACTAACTGGGGAGGAGCAGGACGTTCCATAAACCAATGCAAATGCACCATCAATAGCAACAACGTAATTCTGCCTACTGTTAGCATCAGCTGGTAGATCTTCAACAACGAAAACTTACGGCTCCATTGGCAGCAATGTCAGGGAAGCCACGGGACTGCGACAGGAGATCAAGATTAGATGCCGTCATTTAGAAACTATACTACTGGAGTAGCACGTACCGTTCCTGAGGCGTTCCAGATATCGGGAGGATACTGAGGGTAATAGTTTGTCAGGTAGTACTCGACCGCTGTCTTCTGGTAATCAGGCATCGCAAAGTAGTTGCTGAAACCACCTCCAGAATAGATGACTTGTTCACATGCTCCTTCCGGCTCAAGGACCGTGGAATTGGGGTTGACCTGAGTGGCACCAACAGATGTGATGTAGGGGCAAGTTCCTGGGAAACTGGGGTTGAAGATCGTGCCGTTCAGGGAATAAGTTCCTACGAAGAAAATTAATATCTTGCCACAAGCATGCTGAGAAAACTC